GGAATTCTGCAAAGAGAAACACTGGGAATGTTCTATCCATCACACCTGGACACACAACAAGGAATTCTGCAAAGAGAAACATTAGGAATAGTGCCAGCCATCACACCTGGACGCTCCTGGGACAGGGACCTGCCCTGCATTGTCCTTCTGTTCCCTGGGGAGCCAGTGGGAAATGCCAGGGAATGCTCAGAAGCTTTTCCTGCTCTCCTGCCCAGCTGGGAGAACTGGGCATGAATGTATGGAATCAGGAATGGAATCAGGAATGGAACCAGGTTTGGAATCAGGTATGAAATCAGATATGGGACCAAGTATGGACACATGGAACCAGGTATGAAAGCAGGTGTGGAAGCAGGTGTGGGATCAGATATGAAATCAGATATGGAACCAGGTATGGAATCAGATATGGAACCAGGTATGAAAACATGGAATCAGGTATGAACTCCTGGAATCTTGGAATCACTCATGGGAAGGCCAAGTTGTCCCCCTGTTGTCCCAGCACTGCCTTTATCCCACACCCCCATCCCTGGGCACACACTGGGCACAGCCTCACTGGAATTCCCCCACACCCTTCCCCTCTTTCCAAGGAACACATCAGCACCAACCCCAGCCCTAACTCACTTGGAAGAGTTTTATTTTTGCTGTTGGCCAATTCTTTCTCCTGCCACTGAACTGCTTTGGACATTCCAGCCTAATCTTATCTGAGTCCCTGACTCCACATTTCCCATGTGGAGCAGCTCTCTGCTCCCTCCCCATTATATTCCAAGCATTCAGCAAATGTTTGTGGTCAGCACAGCCATCAGTTGGATTTCTCTTTGCATTTAATTCATTTTTATGCATTCCTGAATTAGGGAATGTGGCTGCACTGGTGGCAGCTGGGACACCAGTTGAAGGAATGAGAGACATCCGTGTCTTCTACCCTAAAAACTGGGAATTCTTCAATGTTAACTCATGTTTGGGCAGAGGGACATGAGGCTACAGACTAAGAAAGGCCTTTCAGGACCTGAAAAATAGATATATTTCCCCACAAAACACTAATTTAAGCATTTGCTGAATTAAAACTTCACATCTTTTGTCATCTACCATACTCAGGAAATGATGATGGATTTGTTTGAGAAATCTTTGTGTTTCAATGGATTTTCTGGCCAGAAACACAGAACTTTGAATGATTTTAAAAATCACATGTCTGCAAACAAAAATAACCAGGCATTTCCTGGGTCCTGTTCCTACCTCCTCTTGAACTTGACTCAAACTGTGAATCAGCTGTGTCTTCTCCTGGCTTAATTTTTCCAGCTCATCTGACTTGTGCTTAATTTCTTTCCTCAGTTTGTCCAGGAATGATTCATTGTTGCTCTTTTCCATGGTCAGCTGGAATTCCAGTTCACTGATGAGCCTTTTAAGGCCCTGGATTTCTTTTTCCCTGTCCCCATCCTTCTCTGCCAGCTTCATTTGGGCATCTTGGAGCTTCTTCTCCAGAATTTCTGTCTCCATCCTCAAACTCTTGGTGGCACTGGATATTAAACCTGGGATCTGGGGGAGATCAGACAGGAATTAATCTCGATTCAGTACCTCTAAATATGGAGAATTAATAGGAAAAAAAAAAAAACCAACAAATTCAAACTTGCAGGTCCTCAGAGAGGAAAAAAAAAAAAAGCTCTGAATTTAAATAATTCCCTCAGAGAACACCCGAGAGCTGTAAATTAATCACCACTCACTGAGAACACAGAGATTAATTAGTGTGTTCAAGATGAAACAGAGACATCGAGACATTTTTCCATTGAAAAAGGGAAATTTTAACTTCAAGTTAAATTTACTGCAAGCCAGTTATTCCTCAGGGTTTAAAAAAATCACAGTTAAATATTTGTCAAGTGAACAAAGCCAAACTTATTTTCAGCTCTAAATCACCACACAACGTCCCAGATTTTAAATAACAATATAACCTCATCACATTCCTTTTTATTTTCCCAGATTTCTCAGATTTTCTCAGGGACTGTATCAAACCTTTTGAAAACTCAGGTTTCAGGTACAATTTCTAAATTTTTGTGTAAAATCTGAGAGGGTTCTGGAGCTCCCCTGTGGTGCCAACACCAATCCAGCCCAGTGGCCTTTACTGACCCTGGAGCTGCTGGGGAAAAAAAAAAAAAAAAAAAAAAGAAAAGAAAAAAAGAAAGAGTGGGATTGGGGCACCTCAGCAGAGCCTGAAACAGCCCCTTTAAGCTTTTAAAACATGATAATGTCAGATTAAATATAATTAACAACTCTGGGGACATAGATGGAGATTTAGTAGTGAAAATATGAGATGACAAAGAACTTCCCCACCAATTCACTTGAACTGGGATAGTTATTTTCAGCCTGTTCTATTTAAAAAAAAAACCAACTAAATATACTAAAACTGGGGAAAAGTATCATCCAGAGAGAGGATGACACACAGAGTTTTTATTCCTTCACATCCCATTTTTCACAGAGGTTTCATTCCTTCTCATCCCCATTTTTGCAGAGGTTTTATTCCTTCACATCCCATTTTTTGCAGATGTTTTATTCCTTCACATCCCATTTTTTGCAGATGTTTTATTCCTTCACATCCCATTTTTTGCAGTTCTCTGGGATTTCTCTGGAGCACTGCACACCTTCTGCTGCAGCTCCTCGTGCTCCCTCTGGAATTTGCTGATCAGCTCCTGCTGTTTTTGTCTCTCCAGCTCCAGCTCCACTCTGGCCTCTTCCCTGACTTTCAGCATTGTCTCCTTGTGCCGAGCCTCCCCTTTGGCCAGGTCCATTTCCAGCTGGGGACAAGAGGGGTCAGTGGGGATGGGATCGTGGGATAATGGGATTGTGGGATCGTGGGATCATGGGATTGTGGGATCATGGGATTGTGGGATCATGGATTGGATCATGGGATTGTGGGATTGTGGGATCATGGGATAATGGGATCATGGGACTGTGGGATAATGAGATAATGGGATCATGGGATTGTGGGATAATGGGATCATGGGATAATAGGATCATGGGATAATGGGATCATGGGATCATGGATGGGATCATGGGATTGGATCATGGGATCATGGGATAATGGGATTGTGGGATCATGGGATCGTGGGATCATGGGATAATGGGATCATGGGATAATGGGATTGTAGGATCATGGGATAATGGGATCATGGGATCATGGGATCGTGGGATCATGGGACAATGGGATCATGGGATTGTGGGATCATGGGATAATGGGATTGTAGGATCATGGGATAATGGGACAATGGGATCGTGGGATCATGGGATGAGATTTTGCAATGGGAATTTGGGATGGGATTTTGGGATTTTGGGATTTGGGGACTTTGGGATTTCGGGATTTCGGGATGGACCTTAAATCCCACCCATCCCACCCTGCCATGGCAGGGACACCTCCCACTGTCCCAGGCTGCTCCAAGCTCATCCAGCCTGGCCTTGGGCACTGCCAGGGATCCAGGGACAGCCACAGCTGCTCTGGGAATTCCATCCCAGCCAGGAATTCCCAATATCCCACCCATCCCTGTCCTCTCTCCATTCCCTGTGTCCTGTCCCTCCATCCCTTGTCCCCAGTCCCTCCCCAGCTCTCCTGGAGCCCCTTCAGGCCCTGTAAGGTCACAAGCTCATCCCAGACCTTTCTCCAGCTTGGAATATTGGGTGAAATTCCCCAGTCCTTACAGCATCTCCACTAATTCACATTATAAATTCAATTTTGAAAATTCAGCCATAATTTCCCCAATAGAAAATTGTGAAGGAAACCCTGAGGGCTGCATTTAGGAGAACACTTTTCCTAACCCAGGATGTTTCCATTCCCTTTGTGCAGCAGATTCTGATGGATTTAATTGCAGCAGGCACATTAAATGCACAGCACAAACCTCATTACTTCAAATGATTAAAAGCACAAAAGCCCACAATGAGCTTAATTATAATTATCTAATTCCACACATTATTATGAGCAGAAGTGTAATAAATCTCCCTGATGTCTTTAGGGGGAAAAGAAAAAAACTGGAAATATTTTCATTATTTTTTAAACCAAAATATGCCAAATTCTGGGTGTGGAAGAGGTACAAATCTCCCACTAAGTTATAGCTTAAAAATTGCTGTATTTGTAAGATGCTCTTCTTATTATGTAAGACTCTTATTAATTTTCTTTTCTTCTTCATATAATAATAATAATAATAATAATAATAATAATAATAATAATAATAATAATAATAATAATAATAATACAACATTACTACTATTATTATATTACTACCATTATTATAATATTATTATTGTTATTATTTGTATATTCTTAGATGGGAGTTGGGATTCTGAACATAAATCCCCAGATTTATTAACTCTACCTCTTATTATAGATCCTGGTCACTTATTGGAGGCTCCATTTGTTTAAAATGAAGGCAATATAAAAACCTGAGCTCACTCATACAAAACATTTCACATTTAATATCTGAAATTAATAAAGCTGAGAACCAGAAGAGGAAATAAAGTGGAGGCTGATGTTCCAAGAGAGCACAATGGCCACTAATTAATTTAATAATTATTTAATAATAATTGATTTAAACCCGCTTACACAGCCCTCATTAATTGATATTTTAGAAATCCAGAAGATAAATGTGTTTCAGGAGGAATTTCTCCATGGTTCAGGAGGGGCTGGAGCACACCTGGGGTGTCTCAGGGCTTTGGTGTTTGGGCAAAGGTTGGATTTTATCATCTTGGGGGAATTTTCCAACCTCAATAATCCCAGGATTCCATAAATATGATGTGCTCCAATGGACTCATGTCTTAAATTGTCTTAAATTACTTCCTAAAAGTGATTTTTTTTTTGTTGTTCCACTAAAACAATTTCAGGTTTATGTATTTAAAGAGAAAACTTCACCCTCTGGTGCAGTGGCACAAGCCAAAGGCAGAGTTGTCACTTTGTCACTTTGATTTTTTTGGCTGCTGAGCAGTTTTGGGCCCTTGCTGTGGCTGCATTTTAATGGCTGTGACACCAAAGCTGAAATTGCTGCCTCTCCCTCCCACCAATCTTTATTTTGTTCTCGTGTCAGGTTGAAAACCCTCTGTGATTGTGGAGCCAGCGTGATCCCCTTCCCAAATCACATCCTGGGGCAGGCAGGGGAAGCAGCTTCCAAAGAAATGTAACTGATCCTAATTGCTACCAGTTCCCAAATTTCCCTGGGACTAAATAAAGCTTTCAGACACTGAAACAAAAATGCAGTAATTTCAGTCACCAATTATGTGAGGCTTAAATCAGACAAGTCACAATTATTGTTCAACTCTGCTTTTAAATTTTCCTTCACTGATATATACATTTATTTTCATTTCTTATTCTTTTTAAGACCTATTTTTTATTCTTTTTTTAATACATAAATATATTTTTATTTGTTTTTCTTTTTAATAGATGACTGTATTTTTATTTCTTATTCAGCTCAGTTTTTTTGGGGGAAAAAGCTGCAGATGGAAACACGGTGGACGTGGTGGGAGTTTTTATAGGAAACAGCTTCCCAAATCCCACTGGAAGAGGCTGGCAGGAAAATTCCTCGGCCTAAAGGATATTCTGGACAAGCTGTGGCTGCCCCTGGGTCCTGGCAGTGCCCAAGGCCAGGCTGGGCAGGGTTTGGAGCAGCCTGGGACAGTGGGAGGTGACAATGGCAGGGGTGGCACTGGAGGAGCTTTAAGGTCCTTCCAACCCAAACCAGTCTGGGATCCTGTGATTCCATGAACTGCAGCAAATATTTAATGTGCTTTTTCTGACAGGAGATTCCCCAAAACAAACCCTCCCCTGTGAACTCCCCAGCAGAGCCACGACGAACAAAATTCGTGCCTTCCTGACAGAATTGGGGTTTGGTTTTTTTTTTTTTTTTTGCCGAGTGGCTCCCAAAGCAGTGAGTGTGTGGTTCCATGTGGCACTGGAGGGGATCATTCCCTGCTTGCTGTGTCCTCTGTGAATCTGAAACCCCCCCAGAGTCACCTTGTCCCTCCAGGAATCCTCGCTCCGAACCTTCTGCCTCAGCGCCTCCTGCAGCTGCTCCGTCCTGCTCTGCTGGGACACCAGCAGCAGCTCCCTAAAAACACACAAATCCCACTCAAACCTGCCCCTGCAATTCCCCCTCCCTGCAGGCAAGTCCTGCTCATCCAGGAATCACCACTTGGAATTTCCACCACCACCTCCTCACCTCCTGAATTTCCTGTTTTAATGAAAACACAGGGCTTGATCTTCCCCTTCAAATTCATACTTCTGTGCTATTTCTCAAGGACACAGAGAAACTTCAACTATTCCAACCAGAACTCGTATTTCATGAACTTGGAATATCAGGGTTATTCATTTAAGAATTGCAGTGGGTTTGGAATGAAAAGCACTGAGTGGGGCTTGTAGGGCACGACTGCTGCAGATTAAATTCCTGCCACTGGTGCTGTTAACAACTTGTCCCCCACAAAAAATGCCTCAGTATTCCCTCAGCAGGGTCTTGGGCAGGATCTGCTACTTGGGGAGGTGTGAGAGCAACTTCCCACCAGCTGAGTCTGGCCCTGCAGGGTCTGAGCTGTGAACAAAGCTGCCCTTGTCCCTGGGATTGCTTTGGAGGTGTGGAAAATAAAATCTGGGCTTCTGGGGGCTGTTCTCCCTGGAATGGGATGGACTTTGAGTGCCTTTGCTTGGGACTCACCAACCTGAATCCATATTTTTTTGAATTACCTGCAGGAGAATCTCCATCTCCAGTTCTGCTCCTGACAGCCACATTTTCACATTTCAGCGTTTAGAAGTGCCAGGAGGCACCAACTGTTCTGCATTTCAGGGGTTTGAATTTTCCCTGCACCTTTAGCTGCAAAAATGGGGCCTTGGGGCTCTCATTAAACTCAAGCTGAAGCCCAAGCAGAACTTCTCTACTCCTATTTTTTAATAAGACTTTTTTTTTTTCTCATCATCCAAGTTTTATCTATCCCATAAGAATTTTAAAAAACCCCAATCCAATGACCTCCAAAATGCCCAGAATTTTCAGGAGCAGCTGAGTCCAGCTCAGCTCCTTTTACCTTTCCTGTTTCAGCATCAGCACCTCCTGCTCTGTTTGGCTCAGGAGAGCTTTAAGGGTTTCCAGCTCACTCTCTGATCTCCCTGTTCTTCTTTTCAGATCTTCTTCTTTCCTTTCTTTCTCAGCCACTTCCTCCTGTAAATGTTTGCAGATTTGTTGGCAAATGAGAAGGGATTCCTCTTTTTCCTTCAGTTCTTTCATAAGCCTACAGATGAAATAAAGAAACAGCAGCATTGTAGTTACTATATTCTTATTTACAGACAGAAATAATAATGCCTGGAAAAGAAAATATTGGTGAAAACTCCGTGTGTTCTTTATGAAGTTAAATCTACTGACCTGACAGAAAAGTTTTTAAAATGTATTGCATAAAAACTGAATTAAAATAGTAAAATGTTTGCTGTCATTGCTCAAAACTATGAAATATCATTTCAGCATTTACCTGGACTCAGCAATTCCATTTTCATATTTGATCTTTTTCAGTTCATTTTGACAGACATCAAGTTCTGTTGACTTCACCCTAAAAAACATTGAGAAAAAAATGGATTTTATCCAAAGAAATGAACCTTTACTCCTGCAGCAGCCTGGACATCACTTCTGGGTGTGTTTTCCACCTTGCATTTTCCATTTCAGGTAAAAGGTCACAAACAGAAATCCCTGCCAGCTCCAGCAAAGGTTGCTAATAATTGGAAGTTGCAGCTCCAGTGCCATCTCAGCCTGAGCTGCATCACAAATGTTGCAAACAAGAAGTGACATCTTGCAACACTGATGACAGCTTTGAGTAATAAATGAATAAAATGGAACAACTCCCAATTTTGTAGGTAAAAGGGCTGGAAACTTTGCAGGTTTCGTGTCATTATGTCACCATTGCACCAATTAATAACCATGGTTAAGGTTCATATTTACATTTAAACAGATAGAGAAGATGTTGTTTTATTAAATTGTGCCCATATTACACTGAAATGTTAATTCACACTTGGAATGCCCCCAGTGTTTATTTAACTGTGTTCATGACATCTTTGTTTCCCACTCAATCCTTACATTATCACTGGAGTCCTTGGTTGCTAAGCATCCCAAATATTTGCAGCTCAGTTCCTCAGACCCCCGAGCAGAGGAACTGAAAGCACAAAGTGCAAAGAGCAGAGCAGCACAAATCCTTTGTTCCCATTGCAGGGAAACGTGGCCAAAGTGGTGAGGGATGGTCATGAGCCTGCTCCTGACTGCTGAGCTCCACTTCTGGAGCTTCCCAAACACAATTTGTGCCTTTCTGAATTCTGGAGGTGATGTCCCCAGGCTGCCCCAGTGCCCACGGAGGTTTGCAGCGCTCTGAAATTTGGAATTTGGCATTTGAAGTTAGCACGGTGGGATTTGTGATGTTTGGGTGGTGTTGGGGTGTCAGGCTCCTGCTCTGGAGTGTTCTGAGAGCCTGGGGAGTGCTCTGGAAATGGGAGAAAATCCTGGAATGGTTTGGGTTGGAAGGGACCCCAAATCTCACCTTTGTTCCACCCCATTTTCCATAGACCAGGTGGTTCCAAGCCCCACCCAGCCAGGCCTTGGACACTGCCAGGGGTCCAGGGACAGCCACAAATTCCCTGGAAAACCTGGGCCAGGCCTCCCCACCTAAAACAATTCCCTCCCAAAATCCGTCCCAAAATCCCACCCGACCCTGCCCTCTGGCAGTGGGAAGCCGTTTTATTCCCCCTTGCTCCATCATTAGATATTCCTTCCCACACACATTTTTAGTCCCGAAATTCTGTGGATTTCCCAAAATGCATCCCACACCCGTGTGTTAGGGGATCATTGTCCCTCCTCTGCAGCTCCATCAATCCCTGCTGCAGGAAGGAAACCCTGCTCCCACAGCCAGGCTGGCTCAGAAATTATCATATGAAAATAAAATTGTTCCTCTGTTGGTCAAAACCTTCTCAGATCACTGCTGAGGAAAAAAAAAAAAAAGTGGTTTAAGTGTTTTATGTGCAATGGGAAGCAATCAAGGAATGGGAATCTTACAGCAACAGCTTCTTGTAGTGGTCCAGCTCTGCTGTCACCTTCTGCAGCTGCAGGCCAGCTGTCTCCACCTGATTTGTTAAATCTGGAAAAAAAACACGAGGTTGTGTCTCTGTTAATGTTCCATTAATTCACTTTCATGGTTTGTTTGCAGGTCAGAGCTCGCTCCCACCTCAGGCAGAGTTTTACAGCAAAAAGCTGGGGTTTGTTTGTGTGTTTGGGGGTTTTTATCCCACCAGAAAACATCAAAATCAACTACACTGGAACACGAAATGCTTTAAATCAGATTGGTTGTACATAGAGCTGAGAGCAAACATGCAGAGAGGTGGAAAACTCACCTGGAATTTGCTTCATGTGAAACGCTGGCAGTAATTTATTGGTGTGGGGTATTTGTCTTATTCTCTAAATGTTGTGTCAGAACACATCACCTCAGCTCCAATCAGCCACTGCCTTTCTCCCTGTACAATCTCTGCTTTTTTAGTTAAATTATCTCTGGTTTTGTGTGCCTTAATACCATCCTTTTCTATGCTTTTAAATCCTAAGAACAGCCATAACTTGCAGATGTGATGCTCTTTAAACTGAAGCACCAGCACAAGGGCTTGATCTGATTTTCATCTCCATGAAGATATGACAGAATCATGGAATGGCTTGGCCTGGGAGGGACCTTAAAGCTCATCCAGTTCCTCTGTCCCAGGTTGCTCCAAGGCCCATCCAGCCTGGCCTGGAACACCTCAGGGATGGGGCAGCCACTTGGCCATCTCTAGAAATGTTCATGAACAAGAGCTGCTTTTCCAGAAAGCCTAGCAATGATTTAAAATCAAAGTTTTTACCAAAAGGACAGCACCACAAACTACATGAAAAAAAAAATAAATCCAATGACAAATCACTGCAACAGATCTGGAAGTGAAAGAAAAACCAAGATTATTCCTCAGAAAGCAACAGCAAACAAAGTGAGGTGGCCTTGTCTCTGAAGGGAACAGCTCCCAAGACAGTCCTTCAAAATTCTGATGTATCTTCCCAGAAGCCAAATCTGTCACTCCTGTTCTTAAATTTATCATTTCACCCCAATTCCCTGAACTTCTGTAGCTTTTCCCACACGTCTCTTTCAGTCATTTCCAGCAATGATGATGGATGATCCCGGTGTGGGATTTCCTGCAGCCACACCTTATCTTGGTAAATCCTACAATTAGAAGAGTTCCCTTTTTTCAGTAAAGGGAAATTGTTCATTAGAATACAACAACAACAACAACAACAACAACAACAACAACAACAACAACAACAACAACAACAACAACAACAACAACAACAACAAAAAAGATCAGGGAAAGAATTATACAGGGTAAAACACACAGGACCTGCCAGCTCCATTCCCAAACTATCAGCATTTATAAAGAGCTTTTTGAAGAGAAAAGTGAAATCTCTTGGGACTTGACTAAACCCTTGGTAAAATCATGGAAGTGAATTGCAGAAGCACCTTCTGCACCACCTGCCGTGGGTGCCAAAACCAAACCAGCCCATTTTTGTGCAGTGCACCCCTCAGGTGCTGTGCTGGCTCTGCCATGGCACTGAGGTGAGCAGAGCTCTGAGCTGTGACAATTGGTGACACCTTCCCTTGTCCCTGAGCCAGCTGGGGTGGCCAAGCAGCCTCTGGCCAGGCCAGGCCACCTGCAGTCCCTGCCCTGGGCAAAACTCTGCTCTGCAGAACTCAACTCCCATTTCCTGGCAGTGCCTGTCAGAATTGCTACAGAAAAAGGGAGAAGTTTTGGCTGCAGCTGCCAGGCAGATGTGAGGCACAGCCCTGGGGAGCAGCCAAGCCTGCCAGCAGGAACGTGACTCTGAGAAAAGATTAAACCCAGATTAGTGTGGATGGACACAGAAAAAAACAGCAGAACCCTCTGCCCATCCTCACAGGCTGCTCTGAGAAGATTTTCCCAAACAGCTCTTTCTGACCTTTTCTAAATTGTTACTTTAAAAGGTCTCTGCCAATAATTAATAAATGTGGTATTTTTTCTTTTCCCTCAACGTGGGAGTATGGACACAAGTTCTGGAATAAAGGAAAAGGAGAGGGATGATGCTTGGTTTGGTGCTGTACTTTGGGTGGTCTCTTTCAACACTGTTTCCTTTTTCACTCCATTTGTTTTCATGCACGGGAGTTTTTCATGAGGGAAGAGATGGATTTAATTATACAAATGGTTTCTGCAAGTCTCCTCTAGAGAGAATTCCCACCAAAGTCAATGGGAGCTGGTGAGCAGAAAGTCCCACACCCATGGAGGCAGATTTCAATGAAACCCGTGGTAAAAATGAGGCAACTAATAAGGAGAATGGCAATACAAATGGAAACTTGTGCTGAAAACTTGCTGAACAGAGGGAAATGTGTTCAAGCAGTTATGTAAAAATGTTCTCTGGTAATGAAAATCAAGCCTATTGCAAAACATGCAAAGCCAACAGAAAAACTCACTCTGTAATAGTGATACTGGGCCCAGGGCTGCATAAGAACCACATCTCAAACACTCAGCAGGCCAAATCCATCTCAGTTTCATTCATGTTTCATTTGACTTGTTTTTGTGACTCAGAATGCCTCTGAGCACAGCCATAAACCTTCCAGTAAGCTCCCAGTGAGCCTGGGACAGGGGCACAGCCCGAACCTGCTGAAGCACAGGAACAGAACAAAAGCTGGGCAATGCTTCCCCTTCCTGGAATTGCATCACTGCAGCCCCTGGTGTGTGCACAACACCCAGCAGAGGCTGCCCACAGCTGGATTTCAGCAATTTCACCACCCAGTTTGCATCCAGGGGCACGCTGCTGCTCCAGCTCCTGCCTGGAAACAGCAACAAGCGGTAAAGTTTTCAGTGAAAAATCAAAATAAGAAGCAGCACATTGGGTGAGCAGCCACTCTGGAAGCCATCAGCTCCACAGTTCATTCCTCACAGGTTGCCAGTGAGGCTGGATCAGAGGCACACGGTGCTGGAGCTCTGTCATTTTCTGCTTTTCCTGCAAAACCTACAAAATCCAATCCAATATAATTCCCGACAATTTGGGGGTAATCTAAAGAAAAGCTCAAAATGTGCACACACAAAAAAAAAGAAGATTATTTCTCTCTAGTTAAGACTTATGGGGAGGTTCATAAGCACGGCTCAAAGTGATGATGGAATGCCAGGATAATTTGGCTTGGGAGGGGCTTTAAATCCCACCCAGTGCCACCCCTGCCATGGCAGGGACAGCTCCCACTGTCCCAGGCTGCTCCAAGCCTTGTTCCAGCCTGGCCTGGCACCTTGCAGGGATGGAGCAGCCACAGCTTGAGCCTCAAACCCATCAGCCATGGCCCAGCAGGGTTTGGATCCTGCATTTTCCTCTCCCCTGCACCCCTTTGGGTCCTGTCTCAGCCATCAGGAACACACTGGGAGCTCAAAGCTGGCCAAGGAATTGGAATGGGGAGCTCACAGATCCCTGGCCAAGGCAGGCTGGAACCCAGCCCCTCCTGCTGCATTGCTCTTGTTCTTGTATTCTGGGAAATAGCAGCTTGCAGCAATTATTTAAAAGTTACTTAATAACTGCTCCCTGTACGAGCCCTGAATTTGGCCAGTGAGCTGTGTCAAAGGGGGCAAAAATATTGAATTTTTCTCAGAACACTAATTCCAGGCAAATTCAGATGTACACTTAACACAGATAGTTTCCAGCACGCTTATTTAAAGAGCATAGCAGACAATCTGTGAGAAATATGAAATACATCCACGAAAAAATGACACTGTCAGAGCAGGAAAACGTTGCCTCATGTTTCTAAGGAGACCAAAGAAGTGAAGTAACACCCCAAGTCCCTGCTCAGAACACAACTAATTATTTGTATTTATAATAGTTCATATACTGTGTTCTCTAAGATAATTTCTTTTTTTTTTTTTTGTCTACACAAGAAAGTCCTTCTTTTAATTTGTGACTCACAGAAGTCTGGAAGGAGCCCAGGGATGGACTCCAGATTTAAATCCTTTCTGGACACCTCACCAGTGCCATCAGGAAATGTCCAAATCACTCAAAGCTGCCAGGAACTGGGAGGATGTGCCAGGACAGGAGTGACTGGGGCTTATCTCCCCCAGCAGATGCTGCTGACCACTGCCAGACTGGGTTTTCTGCTTCACTCTTTCATCTTCATATAGAAAACCAGCAGAGAAAAAGTAGCAAAAGGGACCAGATTCTAAATTATTCTAAATAATTCTAAATAATTCTAAATAATTCTAAATAATTCTAAATAATTCTAAATAATTCTGAATAATTCTGAATAATTCTAAATAGTTGTGAGTGGCACAAACCAAGGGCAGCCTCAACAGAATAAACCAACAACTGCAACCATGTAAACATGACAATCTCCAAGACCTTAAAAATCTTTAAATAAGGAAAAAAAAAATGTCCTTTTGGCAAAGCCTGCTCCCCTCCCACTCCCCCAGTGACACACTACAAGCACGTCTGCACTCAGAGGATTGGATTTGCTCAACCATGGCCAGAGTTCACACTCCAGCATCAAAGGACTGGGTGTAAATTCTGAATTTTCTGCCTGTATTCCTGCCTGTTTGAAGCCAAGCTAATTGGATGTGTCAAAATTCTTACAGACCTGCTTCTCTTACACATTAAAATTGGTTTGAAATACTGTCCTTACTTATTGGCTGGGAAAACTGAAGAGGAAAAAAAAATGGAGATTCTGACCTGAATTTTTCTTTGGGGATAATTTCTCTCAGTGTTTAGGCCAAGCAGACAAAACCAAATAAAATAAAGACACATCCTTTAATACAGAATTATGGTTTGGGTTGGGAGGGACATTAAACCTCAGGGGTGGACACCTCCCACTGTCCCAGCCTGGCCTGGGACACTGCCAGGGATCCAGGGGCCAGCCACAGCAAATCTGGGAATTCCCAATTCCCAAAATCCCACCCATCCCTGCCCTCTCTCCATTCCCTGTGTCCTGTCCCTCCATGCCTTGTCCCCAGTCCCTCTCTGAGCTCTCCCTGGATCCTTCTCCTCTCCAGGGGAACATTCCCAGCTCTCCCAGCCCGGCTCCAGAGGAGAACCTGGATTCTGCTTTTCCTCAAGAGCAAAGTGTGACCCTTGTGTCATCACAGCCCCTCGTGGCAGGGAGCTGGGATTGTTTTCCATGGATTGCTGCGCTGAAAAGCTCCAATGAGCCATTGCCTTGTCACTCCCTGCTCCAAGAGCAGCCCTGCACTCCCCAGCCTTCCCCGGCAGCTGGAATTCATCAAAAATACATTTCAACAGCACTGAATGAATAGGGGCTGTCTGAACTGCAGCCCACCTAAAACTGCAAGAAACTGTTCCCCCTTTGCATTTGCAAAGCTCTTCAAAGTGGTCCTTAAAGTGCCATTAAAGACACTCGAGGAGATGAAAAAAACCTCATTTTCCAGGAGCAGTGCTACTGTGAAAAACACTCTTCACTGTTTTGGTAAAATTGAAAAGGTTTCATAAAAAAGACAATAGGAGATAAACTGAAAGCAAAGGGTTAAAAGGGCTTGGCATGTTACTTTGGAAATGCCCTTTAAATACTTTTACAATACATCAACCTGCTGCATATTCATAGTTTTTTATCTATAGTCAAACTTTTTTTGGGAACTGTTTAGCATGGCCACTCCTTGGGTCTGTCTTTTTAGAGTATGCGTGGTTTTTGGCTTGTGGTTTTAAATTTTTTTTTTTTTTATTACTTTTTAATTTGGGTGGTGGTTTTGGCTTTTTGGAGCCGGTGAGGGTTGATAATTGTTGTGTTAGCTGCAAAGTTTTCATTACACGTTTACAGCTTGTTATTTCAACTAAGCAGGTAGTTTAAGCACACTATTTAAAACAAAATTTATGTTTAACTTTTGTTATTAGAAGAGAAAGAAGAAAAGAAAAAAAACGTATTTGTACAGAAAAGCTATTTCAACACTACACATATAGCATTTATCTTAATATTTGCAAAAAGCCAACAACATGTCATGTATTTATAACAATACCATTCCCCTCCTCAGCTCCTCCAGTTTTCCATCATCTCTCATCAGCCTCCTCATGCCACCAAGTTTCTATTTGGAGCTGAAGTAGCCAACGGAGCAGGAGCAGTAAAAAGACTGAAAATTCGGATTTTGGGAGCATGGCCAGCAATTTGAACCCATGAAGAGCAAGGCCAGAGCTGTCGTGAGCTAAAGACAAACCACAAGGACTTTGGGGAAGAAAAAAGATTCTTTATCTGTGATTAAGGAAAGGATTTAGCTGGTAATAAAATGAAAGCAGAAATGTTTTAGGAGCTTGTGCTACTGCAGCCCTGCTGCTCCCAGCACTAAGAACACAGACACATCATCATTATTAATTTTTGATTTGGAGAGTCTGATTGATTAGACAATTATCCAGCAGACCTTACCCTGCGTTGAGCATTCGTCAAGATTTGTCACCTCTCTCCAATGTTGGGTGAGGTGAAAAGGGCTTGAAGCCAGCAATCAACTGATCCCACAAATCCCCTACAAAGGGAATCCTCAGAAAGTCACAGAACAAAAAGCAACAGCAGAAACAACTGCTTGGTGCCTGCTCCTGCAAATGCAAATGTGATGTGAAATAATAATGAAATCTTTCTCTGAGAAATATGCAACAGAAGAATGCTCAAAATATTGGCTGCAGAAAGGAAAATCCTTTACAAAGATGGAAAACACAAATCCTGGTAGTTTTAATTATTTCTGGAGTGTCAAATTCTTTCAGTACCAAAGAGGGATTTTGGAGTAGTTTGTGAGAGGGAAAAAAGGAAAATAAAGCAAAACCCCAAGTTCCCCCCAAAGCATGGACACTCAGGATTTCCACACCCCGACCTTGGACAGGGCAAATCCACTCCCTGGAACTGATGTTGTTTATTCCCACTCATTTATTTTAACACAATGGCAACCTCATTTCATATTTAATGTTTGTTTCATGAAAAAAAAAATAAAAAAATTCCTGTTTGGTATTTCAAAGAGAACCATTTTTATCAGCAGTGCATTAACTGGGTTTATTACCCCAATCCAGCAATGTTCCCTAGAGCCAGAGCCCTTCAAATCCTCCTGGATTTGTGTTTTACTGATCCATTCAGGAAGGGGGGAATCCAAATGCCTGAGCCAGCAGCTTTCCTGCCTTGAAACCTCCTTCTGGATACCCACATCAAACGTTTGACTGCTTCTTAATAACTCATTTATTAGCAAGTGACTGCTACATTTTTATTAATAAATTTTTAAATGTCTCACATAAAACATCAAGCAGCTTAGAGGGTATTTTTTTACTCACCATTAAGATTTTGCAGGGTCCTAATATTCTGTATGAATTCTATAGATGATGTTTTAGCTGTGTTTTCTCTATAAAATCTCTGTTGTTTTATATTTCCCTGCACATTTTCACCCTGGGACAGTGGGAGGTGTCCCTGCCCATGGCAGGGGTGGAAATGGATGAGCTTTAAGGTCCCTCCCAATCCAAACCATTCCAGGATTCTGTGATAATTAACTGTGATGGGCTGATGCAACATGCCAATTTAGGGAAGCAAATTCAGCTTTTCAGAAGATCCAAGAAGCCATGCAGGCCTCCCAAAAATACAGAACACATTGAACAACCTTTAAAAAATATAATAAAATAGAGACTGCAAAAATTTCTCTTTTAAGGAAAGAACAAGGCAATTCTGCACGGAGTTAAAGGGAGGACAAAGCTGAAAATGAAAGTGTTTGTTTGCAACGTTCATGGAGAAACCTGAACTCGTTTGCAGCAACCTCTGGAGCAAAGAGAGGGGGAAAAAGGAACTCAGCTAAGGGCAGTTTTCCTATCAGCATAAATAAACACAAATGTTGGATGTTCTGATGCTAACCCATGGATTTCAGAGTGTGAGAGATCATCTGATGGGATTTTATGTCCACTGCTCCTGATTATTTCTACAAAGACACACGATGTCTTTGCTGGAGCTTTTTAACAGTGTTGTTATAAAAATGAACCATTTCACTATTAATAGATATTATTGTGCCCATCCTCAGCACCAGGGGTTGGTCACTCAGGGATGGGGGTCTCACATTTGGTGTTTTCACAGCTACTGAAGGGCCACTGAAGTTCCCCCTCAGTGACCTTTCAGGAGGTCACAGATGGGCACTGCTGTGCCAGCCTGGGCACTCCAAACCCTGCCTGGAACAGCACAACCTCAAATGTGCTCCAAGGTCTTCAAACACCTCTGAGCCAGAGCTGTGAATGCAGGAGAAAAGAGATCCAAGAGATACCAACATCGATAATCCTTTTGCAGTGACTTTCTGTCTGCACAGAGCTCCCAGGGTGTCATTTCAAGTGCTGTCACTGCTCTCACCCTTTACAAGAGCATTCTCTGCTTCCTGAGACACAATCAAGGGTGGATCATTAGAGTCTCATGTTTAATGACTCAGACGAAAGGGCCTGGCCTGCTTTTCAATCTTTCCTGGTCCTGCACTCAAAATGACACCAATCCTTTGAATTTTACCCTCAGAGCCTGACGTTCTGCTTAAGATGGACAATTAACAGCAGGATTGTATTCCACCACCTTCATTATTTTCTTCTTTTTCTTTCCTTGCCCTCCCCATCAGCTGCCTGGTGCTCCCAGCAGGGCTCCAGACTCTGCAATGACATTTCCTCCTCCTGACTGCAACACCCACCTTTAATTCAGGCCTGGGGAGTCTTTTCACAGTAACAAACACAACTTTGGTTCTTTAAAAAAACCGCTTTTTTTTTTCCCCTCCCCTCTTTGAATTTTTGTTAGAAAGGATAAAATCTTCTCTTACCCAAAGTTTCCTTCTGCAGCTCACGGCAGCGACTCTGGAGCTCGCTCCCCTGCTGCAGGGAAGTTTGGAGCTGCTGAGTTTTCAGCTCCACTGTGTCAGCCACCCCAGTGAGGTGTCTGACCTTCTCCTGCAGACACTCGTTCTCCCGCTGAGATTTTGCCAATCTTTGGTTCAGTTTGGGGATTTCTGAGGAGGCAAAACAAATCCGTGCAGGCTGCTGTTATTTATGTGTTAATCGTGAACAAGAATATCAAAGCTTTTAAATGGAACTCGCAGGCCAACAAAAATAAGTGGGGCTAAATAGTTTCGATGCAGAAAGCTGGATCTGAGGATGGGTGTGATATTGTTGGTGTGGCACTAGACTGAAGTGGGAAATGTTGGATGAGGGGTGTAAGAAAGGCTCCACTCCTGCTTCCACACAGATCCTCTGTGTATCTGGAGTCCTACATCAACTAGAACAGGGAATACTCCAGAAAAGAAGCTCTGGAATGTGTGGATCCCTCTGAGGCTGAAGATGTGTGCAGGGACAGCAGCTGCCATTCCCTTCAGCCCTCAGCAGGCAGGGGATGAGCCAGGCAGAGAGGAATCCTGTGGACACTGACACTTCAGTTCCCTGTTCCTCCAGGAGTGCAGGTTGGGGAGGGATGTTCTGGGCACACATTTCCAGCAGGCAGGAGCCCTTTGGGTGCCCTTTGTGGCCCAGGGCTCCCAGCTCCCTGCTGCTGCTGGCTCAGTCTGTCTGGGCTCCTGCTTCTCCAGGCACAGCTGCCCCAGAGCCCTTCTCAGTGGGAACAATTCAATCATTGAGGAATTCACTGCTCACGGCCCAGGAAACACAGCCCAGCTGCTGTGGGGAACAGCTCCAGGGTTCCTGAGCTGCTCCAGG